TACTTACTTACTTACTTACTTACTTACTTACTTACTTACTTACTTACTTACTTACTTACTTACTTACTTACTTACTTACTTACTTACTTACTTATCAGTGAAAATTGCCTTTCACCACATTATAATCATGCATATTATTGGACACACACATGCAGTATTTTCAAGATTTTTTTGTGAGGGAATTCAGGCTTTGGATTTGATTACTCTGRCAATTTATTGATGGGCATATTCTATACGGTTGGAGGTGCTTTTGTGTTTGATTATTTCAACTTTATATAAGAATGTCTTATTTGATGAAATTTGTGGTTGGTACTTTGAGTAAAAATACAGCAGATGGTACTGACTGAAGCCTGAAAACGTTTAAAAAGTGTATTTCTGAACACTCTGTCCTGAAACCTAGCAGCAGATGAGAAATGAAATTMTTTTCGTTGTCTGACACATTCACCATAGATGTCCATATCCTGACCTTCCGTTGCCTTCTCAGTCACCATATGTTTCACATTTAAACCGTATTTAAAGATTTCCCTGCTTCTCGGTAAACCTCCCACTTTGTCACACAAGCACATGTCAGGTAGCTGAGAAATAAAAACTACTTTTTTATATAAACTCCCTTTTTACAACTGAAAAAACAAGTGATCTCATGTTTTATCTGGCAGCCTTAAACTGTCTTACTTTCTGCTGCCAAGTAGAGCAGCAATCCTCACGACTACTGAAGGACTCTGTGTTTCAGACGGTTGTCTGAGAAGTGTTTCAGAAGGTTAGCTGCTTTCAAAGACACGGTTATCTTCCACTTGACTTCTTAAGAATAGAACTTCAAACAAACAAASTTGGCTTTGAGACATTTTTTGCAGCTCTTTTGGGGCCTTGAGGTAAAATTTCTTTATTTTATTGCCAGATGTTTGGGTTCAAACATGAAAAAATAAATAGTTCAAACTTGATAATCTGTTTGATTAGACAAAAAGGGGGGAAATGATTTAAGGTATTTTCCTGTGTAATGCAGCCTAACATCTGAAGATGACATGGTTTTAAAGATGACATTAAAKATAAGTGAAACAACAAAGCCAGCTGGATGTGAGGCAAGGAGGAAAATAACTCATTTACTGTATCTTGTTATAAGACAATGGATGGAAGATCATTTGGCAGAATTCAGTCACTGAAAGACTGAGTCATACCAAAGGGGATAGTTATTATCTTATGTAAACAGGACATGAGCTAAAATTGAACATTCTTTGAAATAATAGATGGCAAAAAAACSTTTTTCAAACATCCTGTGTGCATGCTTCTGTTTCAAAACAAGCTTGTGGCACTAAATCATATTTTCTTTTGATGTTTTAATTAATGTTTATTCTACAACACAACTCACTTTTTTGTTAAGCCTTCTTTATTTTATCTGTGCAAGTGAGCATCACATCTAATGTGAGTAGAAAAGACTTTCTGTTCAATTTCACCCCATAAAGATGAAAGAGGATTTAATTTTAGTAGGTAATGTTGATTGCAGATTAACCTGAGTCACATAAGCTCAAACAATTAGTTTTATTGTAAATTTTGTTTCTGGAAGATCTGGGTGTTTTTATTCTGAAATAGAAACATTTTTCTTAAATTAGTATAAAAATTCAGATTTGATTAAAGTGAATTGGTCATCTTGTTACTGTAATGCAGTTATTTAACATTCAGGACAATAACAAAATTAACAAAACTTTTCATTCTTGGAGTTTATTTGTTGGAAATAGAATAAACCTGATTGTAAAAGCAGTCCCTTAAAACCAGTATTTAATTAAGCTGCAGAGAACACTGGCTTCTTTTTACCCATTGATTCAAGTGGAGAGCATAAAGTGGTCAGACATTTAATATAATTGTTGTGGAAAAATAACTAAATAATATTGTTTGGGTAAAAATGTGCAGCTTTACTTCTATCAGAGTCGTCCCCACAGCTGTAAGTGCCTTCGATGGGAAAGAAGTGTCAGAATTGGACTGCAGAGCAGCTGAAGACAGTAGTCTGCTCAGATGAATTCTGTTTACTTTGGGAGGAAGGAGAGTTAAGATGTACTAAGGGGAAAAGACAAATAAAAGGAAGCTGTGTTGACCACAATCTGCTTGCATCTGCATAAACAATGCTGCAGACCTCCTTACAGTTTCAGCGAAGGCAACAGTCATCTCTAACATCACAGGCTTTGTCCAGATGTGTAATACTCGTTGCCTTAAAGCTAAAAAATGTGAGTCAGTCTTTTGTGAAACATCAAAACCAGTCCGAGGTGTTGAGCAGGCCTCCTAATTCCCAAAATCTCCCTGTCGTCCATTATCTGTGGACTGTTCTGGAGAAAAAGGTCTGGTCTGTGGAGGCCCCACATTATACAGGACTTAAATGATCTGCTGCTGATGTCTTGGTCTGATACTGCAGGACGTCATCAGAGGTTCTGTGGACTCAACAGGTCAGAGCTGAAGCAGAGGCCTATCAAAGGTCAGACTACTAGAATTAAAGCTGAGAATGATCAGAGTGTTTTACAAAGTAAATGAACAAACACCACTATCACCACCACTATCCTATTTCTATAGTGCAGGGCTATACAACTGGCAGACCGTGGGCCAAATCCGGTCCGCAAGTGATCAGAGTTTGGCCCGCCAATTGGTTCATTCATTTCAAGTCCAAACCCCTGGTTTTTTACTTTAATTAATATAAATTCTTTTAGTTAGACATGTGACCTACAGAAATATCAGAATTTTGTTTAGAAGTTGGTAAAAAATAATTTCTATGAACATCCAAGACGGTTAAAACTACAAGCAGTTAAAGGTAAAATTATGAAAGTGAAAATACAAGTGGTTTAAAGTCAGAGGTGTCAAAACAATATTTGTATAGGAGGCATAATGTGTTCTATTTTTTATATTGTTTCATTATCACTACTTTTATTGCACAGGGTTCTGCATGCTATTATATTCATGGTTATATGCAGCAAAAAATAAACTATTTCAAAGTAACAGATCTTTGTAATCCTTGGTTTATTTACATAATGACTTTGCTGGATGTTCGGTCCCTGAGCTGTTGGCCTTCATTAACTGTGGCCCCTGGAGCAGTTTAGTTGAGTAGCCCTACCTATTGGTGGTACGATACCATATTTTACAAGTATTCATAAAATGCCCCAATACTCAGGAATGATAGCAATACCAGTACTGATACTAGTRTCTGGCATCGATATTGCATTTACTTTGCTGCAGTTCACATTTCAAGTGAAAAGTTTGTCGGTTCCATGTTTAAGAAATGGATACAAGTTGAAAGAAAATCTTATTTTTATTTATTTAAAATGTTGCATCAGTATGTRTCATGCTGTATATTTGATTTGCTCCAGTCAGAGGGGCTGTGGGCCTGTAAGGAAGGAGAGACGCCTTGTTCTAAATAAAAAATTGTGTTTTTAAAGTTAGTGTGTAATGTTTAGTTCTAACTCTGTAAGTACTCTGTGTTGGTATTCGATATTTTCGAGTACCCAAACTGAAGTAAATGGTTTGAACTTGTATAACGCCTTATCAAATCTCTTTGACTCCAAAGCGTTTTACACTTTAATCATTCACACACTGATGATGCTAAGCTACATTGTAGCCACAGCTGCCCTGGGGCAGACTGACAGAGGCAGGGCTGCCATGCATCGGCACCACCGATCTGCCACCATCAGTAGTCAAGGTGGAGGAAGTGTCTTGCCCAACTACTTGTATTTGTACTTGGTTTGAGTARAACTGGTATCAGGGTACCCCATATACTCTTTGTCAAGCGAGACAAAAAAAGTTAGAAAAACTCTGACTAAAGAAACTGATAAAAATATTTTCTTTTAATTTGTGGTAAACCAAACAAATTGAGATTTTGTGTAGATGGTATTAAAATGTTCATTTTATTGAATAAAGTATTGATCTATTATTGATCTGTTATAAGTTTCATGTGGCACCAGAATTCAACAAAACTGTTCAAATAATCATGGCTGTTTTTTTATTTTTTTTTTCAGAATTTTTAAGCAGCAAGTCATTTTTCGGAACAAATAAACAAACTTTGTTTTCCGTTCTCATCCCTCAGAATCGTTTCATCCCTGAAGGAGCTTTGGAAATTCATAATGGTGGGCAGAATGCTCGCTTTGGCTCGTCCCTCGCTCCTGTCCCCGATCTCAATGGTGATAGCTTTAATGACTTGGTGGTGGGCGCTCCGCTGGAAGACGACCACAAAGGAGCCATTTATGTTTTCTTCAGCCAGCACAACAGAATCCTGCGCAAATATAAACAGGTAGGGTTTGTTCAAACAATAAATTATTCATTTTATCCTTTCTGACCACATTTACTTTTCATTCAAATGTAGAACTTGACTTATCACTTTCATAAGCAGCAAAGTGTTTAGAATACTTTAATTTCAGTCTTTTTATTTATTTATTTATTTATTTATTTATTTATTTATTTATTTATTTGGTCCGTTTTGCTACACAGAGCTTTTCTGGCCCTGAATGGATCAGATATTTGCTTGAACCAAAATACTAATACACCTTTCAAGGAAATAAATCTGGCAGCTGGAAAAGTCCTAACACCTTTACACTAGCACGTGTTTGTGAGAACAAATAATACAAATAACTTAGTGCTTTATTTTTGCATCWATGTAATAAACTCTGATTAATATTGTTCCAAAAACTTATTTTGCAACAAGCATCATTCATTTTGAAGATACACTGAATCTTGAAATGGTATGCTAATGCTGCAGGTTTAATCCCAGGTTGTGTCAGGATTCAGGAAGGCCATTTGATGGTAAATGGCTTGAACTTATATAGCGCCTTATCAAGTCCACTTGGACCCCAAGGCCCTTTACACTTCAGATATTCACCTATGCACACACASTTTCACACACTGAGCTGATGTAAAATACAGTATATCCCAAATTTAATCAAATACGTTGTGCAGATTTGTTTGTCTTGTTTAAAATAAGGTATTAGTTGCAAACAGGTAAAAGTAAGAAAATAGAAAAGCTTAAAAGATTTAAGAAATACTTTTGTTTTTCAGTAAGAAACAGAAGTTATTTTTTATTTTTCTTTTAAAATGTGTATATTTCTACTGAAATGACAGCAGTATGTTAGAAACATAATTGCAGCAACAAGACAGTTCCAGAAAATGTTTATGTTTCCTGATGCTATATTTACATGAAAAAAAGCTTYAATAGTTACTTGATCGATGTCAGTGTGAACTGTTGTTACCGTCGTTGTAAAKCCTGTTCTCAGTTTTCTTCTGTCTGGTTTTCAGAGGATAGCAGCTGTAGATTTGGCTGCAGGCCTGCAGTACTTCGGTCGCAGTATTCACGGCACAATGGACATGAATGATGACGGTTTGGTGGACCTGGCAGTGGGTTCTCTTGGTGCTGCTATTCTTCTCTGGTTTGTACATCACCCAAAAACTATTACTGCAACTTTGTTTTAAACAGCAAAGCAGCTAAATTAACTAAATAAAAACTGCACCTTATATGAAAGATTTTTTTTATTATTAATGTAAGAATCTCATTGTTTCATTTTAAGTAAGTGCAGTTGATGGATCGGTCTGATCCGTCTCACCTTTGTTCCCTCACAGGTCAAAGAGTGTCGTGCGAATTTATACCACCGTCAGGTTTGAGCCCAATAAGATTAACATCTTTGTGAAAGACTGTCAGAGAGGTGGCAAAGACGTGACCTGCATGTCAGTCATTGTATGTTTCAACATCACCGCCAGGACAGCCATTCCACCCACACAGGAAATTGGTAAGCCTGTATAAATAACCAGCTTCAGCAGAAGCATCTGAGTCAAGTTTTAGACTTTTTACCCTGCCCAAGCTGAACAAACCATATTTCATCTGTCAAAGATGAAGAGCGCCTTGCATATTTTACAACCTAAAAAAAGAAAACAAGTCCTGACCAAAGAAATAATGTGTTTATTTTCATTGGCGACAGACATTTTGAGGTAGAGCATGGCAGCATGAWCATGTGAGAAAAGGCCTTCATTTACTGTATCTTGACGCGTATCATTCAAGTCCTGCAAAACTTTTCAGCATGCAAAAGCCTATAAAAACAATGATGGCTACTTTTATTTAGAGTGGCGCCGAAGAAAAAAAAATGTGTGTGTGTGTGTGTGTGTGTGGGGGGGGGGGGRGTTCTTTATTAGCCGTAAGAGATTCTGATCTCACTGCTTTGCCTCTGCCAAAGCTAAAGCCTTGCTGTAGCCTTGAAAACTGGAGCAACTGCACTATTTTGCTGGTATTAAATGTCCTTTTTAGTGTGTTGGAGCAGCATCTACTCTTTTCATCAGTTTAATTTGGTTTTATTTGGCCTGCTGTTGAGACTGGTGACAGCTCTCAGACAAATCAAGCTTACRTACGGGTGCTGTGACACCAGACGTGACCCACTCTGAAGCACAGGCTCATCTGCTCACAATTTCTCCTAGAAGCTGTAATGACAGGGTCCAGTTTCACTGTTTATCAGGAGGAGCGTGTTCTGAGTTAACCCTCTGACATCTTTATCAAATCCATTATCTGCACCAAAACAGAWTTTGATGAAGAACAGTTGAGTTATCTTGTCTTCGATGCTTGGATCCTGTGGAACTCATTTATTTGACTTTCCTGTCGTCATGTCTGCTAGTAATGCATGGCAGATGCGCTGGTGATTGTGAGGTTTTTGTGGCCTTCCGTCTCGATTAAGTGAATCTAGTTTAAATAAATGTCTGTTTACAATATTTCTGAGTTGTGAAGAAATAGCCAAGATGTTTTTTGYATTCTTTTTGTAGGTTTTGAAGTTATTTAACTGGCAACGCAGTCTAGCTCCATAAATCCTATAAAGCTACAACATGAAAAAGAACAAAAAGTTTCAGATGTGACGTTGATACTTATTGGTGCTATGGTGAGAATTCCAGTTTATCTCACATCTGCTTGAGTAACACATTAGGATTTCTGCCTTTTTTCAAAATTTTGACCAATTCTCTTGAAGTATATTTATACACATCATTTCATTTAACAGATTTTTTCCTCATGTCACGACAACACAAAGCTGTAAATAACTTAAAAAAAATTCTGAAGCCTTAAGGTTTGGATTCTTGTATTTGATAGTTGCACATTCAACATGTTCAAAGTTTCACATTTTTACATAGTAATCTTCTCTATCGCTCCAACAGGGATCAAATATAACGTGTCCATTTTGGAGAGACGCTTCAATCCTCGAGCCATCTTTGATCACCCAAATAAGCTGCAGCTCCAAAACCTGACGCTCTTTCCGGGGGAAGAAACCTGTGAACACTTTTATTTCCAYGTCATGGTGAGGCTAACAGTGAGGGGTGCTAATTTCACATGGAAGCACACAACCACTGTTTTGGAAATGCAGATTTGTATGTGGCCTTTTTTTTAATACTGATTATTTATCAGGTCAGTTCTATTGAGGAAAAAAAATGGATATTTGTAGTTTTAGTAACCAGAGCCCGATTTGTGGYATTGAATTTCTTCAAAGACATGTTCAGTTTCTTAGAAGTGAAATATCACACTCAGTGGTTAAATTAGACACAAAAGAGTAAATCCACTGGCTAATCTTTGAATGTGCTGTTTTCTATTAGGAGACCACAGATTATGCAAGACCCATAGTGTTTGCAGTGGAAGTGGGGCTTCAAGATTCAGACCAGGGACCAGTTCTGGATGATAGCTGGCCTTCTCTGGTGAAAACAGAGGTAAATGTCATTCTTTTTAAGCTATAAAAATACAAAAATGGCTCTTTAAAGGGTCAGGTCATGAAAAGGCCACATTTTTRGCGATTGAATGCATTTTGTTGTGTACTTTTAGTCTCTACAGAAAAGTTGAATTTAGTCTCTCCTGGTACTGTGTAGATATCTTTATATTCTGTTTGGGTTATACTTTTCAATCTGTTCAATTTTCTTTATTTTTGATGACATTTGGGTCAGGCTCTGGCTCCAAAATGTGAGACTGGATGGACAAGTCTTCTGTTGTTGACGTCTTTGAATTAATTTGTAAATWAAAAGTTTCTTCATCGTTATATAGACGTAAAACCCTTTACTAAACTAGAATGAACGCTCTGGAAACTGGACGGGGGCGGGGTGTGAAGCGTCTCGTTCGGATTTAAAGAGACAGCCTCAAAACGAGTTGATCTGAGACACACCTTGGAAAAGAGGTGGAAGAGGGGCTTGTGGAGTTACAAKAAGGATGAATTCAGACCAGAGCATTGCAGTTTCACTATATAGACCTCAACTGAATGAAATTTGAAAAAAAGATTTTAAACTATTATTTTTCTACTTTAACCTTTTAACCAAAAGTAACTTTTTTTGCACCAGCTGCCCTTCTGGAATGGTTGTGATGAAGATGACAACTGCATGCCAGACCTGTCACTGCAGAGCTCCACCAACCTGATGACTCGAAGGTATGCACATGCACATTGTCACATATAAGACAAGGCAGAGAAAGAAGTTCCACATCTATAGTAAAAAAAAAGTCTTGGATTTTATTTTCCTCTCTTTCTCTCAGTCAGTTCTGTGCTCGCTCTGTTCGGTCTCATGGTGCTTTCTGCCGTCATCAAAGTGACGGAGGAATGGGGAGTTTGCTGCGGGTGCTTGAGGGAAACACAAGAAGATTCTTGCTGGACATCAAACTGGAAAATAAAGGAGAGAATGCCTACAATGCTCAGCTCAACATCACCGTCACTCCCAATCTACGCTTCTCTAGTCTCATCGTCAAAGTACGCCATCTTCTTCCTAAACCCTTTGTTTTGTTATKAAGAACATTATTTCTCAAAATTAGTGATTCTGTTTCATTTTAACCATGAGATAAGGAACATGAGCTACAAGTGTTGCAATACAAAACAAGTGTTCTTTTCACAATCCAGGATACATCTGATATTAAGATTGATTGTTACACGGAGGACAGAATAAATAACGAGAAGATCTGCAACATCAGTGCACCATTTATGCGAGCCAAAACACAGGTGAGGCGAGCATTTTTACTGAGACTGAAAATGAAAATGTGTGTTTATAAAATCCTCCTTTTCATTCTGACAGCTGTGGTGAAAACAACTGAGTCTGTTTGAGGCTTAGTGTRGTATGTAACGAAGTAACAGGAAATGAACAGACACAAAAAGTTGATAAATCAAGTATTTACTCTCGAGGAACCATTAAAGTTTTGAGTGCCGTGTTTCTCATATTGTTAGCGATTTGAAATCGTTCARAGACAGGCTGATTCATTTTCTTAATTTAGAAAATGTATATTAGCTACCTTAACCAGCAAATTACATGAAATGTTTTATAGCTTTAAAAAAAAGAAAAACAATCTATTATTTTATGCATGTGGCTTATTACAAACAAAAGGTCTGCTCCAAAGTGCTGGACAACAAAAGAAAGGCGACATAAAACAATGAAAATACCAATAAAAACCTCTAAAAACAGATTATTAAAGAGAATGTAAAAGGTTTCCATAAAAATGAAAAATAAAACAATCAAAATAAAGATTAAAAAATTAACTTATTCAGAGTCAGATGTCAGTGAGTAGAAGTGATCTTTAAGAGCACATTAAAGTTTTCTAAGGTCTGAGCAGATTTTTTTGTCTTGAAGATGAAATTTATTCCACAGATTAGGAGCAGCAACTACAAAAGTGCAACCATTGAACTAGAAATGACTAAAACAAGCATGTGGTTCTTCAACAAACAAGACTTGCTATTAATCCCACTTCTGTCACTACATATTAGTTATTTGATTTTTAATTGTTGCTTTTGATTTGAGATATGATGATAATTTGATCAACATGCCTCATGCAGGCCTTCTTTGTGGTTTTATTTTTCAGTAGTATTTGATGTGTTAGTGTCAAGAATCAACTTCATTCTGTAAGAAAACAAAAGCACTTAAAAAAACTGGAAGCTTAAAACATATTTCACATCCTTACAAGCCCTGCCATGACTCAGAAAGAAACCTGCTTGTGTTTAAAGCATTTTTAAGTTGTAATGTTCACTTGTAATATTCCTCTAAAATCAGAACGCACGATTTTCATCTTGTACTTAACTTTAAAAACATTTTAAACCAAGTCATTTATTTATTATTGAATTATTAGGTAATTACAGAACATAAAAAAACACAAAATATCCCCCCTTTCTTCTTTATCTTTAATGCAGCGGGTGAGACTGAGTGAAAAATACCTGCGTTCTTTATCTCTCATCTGTTTCAGATTCTCACATTCAATTCTGCTGCTTCTGAGCTTTTCAACGAGCTTGTAATGTCAACAATATTTACAGGGTTTTGTACTTTTCTACGTACTTTGGCGGATGAATCTGTGGTTTATTTTTAAGAGGGCGATGTTTAAATAAACCTTGAAAGGATTAGCGCTGATCGTACATCAATTTCTGCAAATAAAAGCAGCTCCACTGTGTTTTTARATGCAGGCCAAGTTTCCAGTGATGTTGACAGTCTGTTTTATTTTATGCTTGCACAAAGTTAGCAGACAAATACTGTAGAAATTAAAGATTGATCGGAAAGGGTTCATGAATTGTTCTAACCGTATAATTATCGAACACAACACTCATCTCTGGGGCAACAAAGACATCCCCACATTTCTCTGCGGTGCTCTCCAACAGCTGAACTGGTCACCCTTTAAATCCCTGTGTGACTCATACCCAGCTTCCAGAGCCACGGAACTGAACTGAACCTGGTCAAGAGTCTGTTTTTAAAATGTGGCAAATGTTAAAGTGGCCGGACTGTKCACCCTTCTCAGCTGAAGGAAAAGAGGGAGGGAAAAAAGACGTTCTTCACTTTTGTTCAGTGTAAAACAAAACTTCATGAACAATTCAGCACATGCAGATCTGAAAATGACACGCTGTGTATGTGTGGTGAGTTTCCCACTCCTTGGGCTTTCTGTTTATTTGCAGACGTTGGTGGCCATGGATTGCAGTTCATGTTTTTGAGGTGTACTGGATTTATTTGGGCCTCTGTCCAAACCTAAAAAAAAAATGTTTGTTGATCTGCTTTTTCTAAAGATCTGGCATTAGTAAATGGTGGTAAGTGTGGTTTTGATAAAGAGAATGGGTTTTCTTCAAGAAGACAGATAAAAGCAAACTAATTGTTCTGTGTAGCTGTTTGACAACTGACAATCAGCGTGTCATTCAGCTGGATTTACACAATCTGAATTAGGGAGGCAGCCAAACTGCATCAGTTCAGAGGAGTGAAACATGATGCGTAATCTGGCTCTCAATCATTTCTTCCCACAACAAACCATATCTTCCAAACCCCAATTAACTGTGTATGTTTGCTTTTGCTTGTATTTYTCATTTCACTTTTTTAAAGAAACATCACTCATTTATTTTCAAAATATTCTCTATTTTCGGATGCTGGTGAAACTTTATAGCATTTGGTTACATAAAGAGGTCACCATCTTGTATCGGTGGTTAGTCAAGTACGAGTCAGTGTCTTTGGAGGAGCGAAGCTACGGTACCCTTGTTACGCATTCCTCTGTGGTCAGACAGGACCCATCAGGACTTCATTACAGCCTGGAGGAGTGTAAACAACAGTCAGCTTGACTTTATGCATGCTCTGTTGCCAATCAAACCCCCTCCTCTGCTAGTCTGACTTGGATTGTCCTGTTTTTGTTGCRGATTTGTTATCATATTCCAATTATTAACGCACTCATCTTCAGCTTTTCCTTCTTTACTGTTGCTTTCTTTKTACTCTTCTCTATAGCTCCACTTTCCTCAGAAAGATCAGTGTGTGTGTTTCTGTGTGTGTGTAKTTGTTGGAAAGACTCTGGATTTCTTTGAGCAACACCAACTGTATAATAAACAGCCTGGGGTTAAATCTTGGGAAGACAACGGGTTTTTGCAGACTTTACTCCCTAATAATAATGCAGGGTCTTTACTGCTGGAGGGGATCTAGTACGTACTGTATACAACAGTTTTGAAACATGTGCTTTTATTGTTTATTTAGTTTTTAAAACTAGCCATGTACCCATGGTGGATTTATGCTTCTAATCTCCGTTCTCCTTTGGACAGGTATCGTTYCGCCTGGAGTTTGAGTTCAGTCCTATTATCCTGCTGGATCACCTCAGAGTTATCCTCAAAGCCACCAGGTTTGGACATCATTTATGTAGCTTAGTGCATTTTCAGTTCCTTGCCATTCAAATGGTGTCTCTGTTTGTGTGGAGACAGGTCGGTCTCATACTCAACTACAACATCTCAGTAAAAACTGTTTTATTCATRATGTTTGAACATTTTTTTGTCTTTCAACAGCGATGGTGAGGAAACAAACCCAACAGATAACTCCAATGATATCTATTACTGGCTAAAATACGAAGGAGACCTTCTATTTACAAAGTTTGTCAATTCTTTTACACTTCTTACCAAATAGTGATTGTTTTTGAAGCTCTTGTTATAATTTCAGTAGCCATAAACTTGGAAAATACTGGATTTCATTGAAGCACTAAGTTGGAATGTAAACTTAAAGTCACAATGTGTCTCTGGTGTTTGTTTTTTCTTTTTCTTTGAAAGGGATTCAAACCCGACTCGGTACGAGATCAAGTCAGAGCTCTCGCTGGAGGAGCCTGGAGTTATCGGCCCTCCTTTTAACTTCACTTTCCAGGTGAGAGTCATTTTTTATCATCTCTGACTTTAATACCAAAAAAAAAAAAAAAAGACATTGCCTGGGAATAATTTACACAATCTATTCTTTGCGGTGTCTCAGATTAAGAACCTTGGATACTTTCCAGTAAGGAATTTACAGCTGAACATCGAGATCCCAGAGATGACAAAAAATGGGAACCGGCTCCTGGAAATATTTGACCTGCATGTTGACCAGGTGAGTTGGGAACTGAAAAGGTAGGCTTGTGTTTTGCAATGACTGTGTTGAGATTTAACAGTGAACTTCAGACATCTGATACTAAACAGAATGAATTATGAACCTAACAGTGGTGTATTATAACACCTCACAAATAGGTTTGATATGCAGGTCAAGAACAAGCTTATGATCCACGCTGAAGACATGGAAATATAAATATGCAGGAATTACAAGTATATTGTTGAAGGGTCACGGGTTTGTTGTCATGGTTTCTTTTTTGATGTTCAGGTTTTGTTTCAGTGTGCTCATTGTTTGTTATACTGTATACTAAAGTTTAGGATTGAATGTTTGTGTCATTTTTGTTAAGTCTATTGATTTCCTCAGTTGGCTTTGTTCTCACTACTACCTCACCACCTGCTTTAATCCCTGACCTGKTAGCCTCATCAACTACCCCTGACTGTGTATTCTGTATTATCCTTGGTTTCTCACTCAGTTTGTCAGATCCCCCTGATAATTCCTGCTCACTACTTACTTGGGGGCTACAGTAGCTCAGTGGTCTTGTAATCCTGAGTCTGCAGGTTTGAGCCCAGGTTGCTTCAGGAAAAGGCAACCCTGCAGAAGGAAGCATCTAAAAGAAAAAAAAACTGCATCCCACATAGCAAAATTTGTCTGGCCCACACAATGCACCAACACTCGGCCAAAATACTGCAAAGAATGATTGGTGGCCCAGAAGTGGTTTGACAGAGGTGGTCCATGCATGGGCTACCACCATATAAATCAAACCACAACTGGGCCAGTTGTGGCACATACCATCTTAAAACAGTGCTATCATTGGCAGACCTGGCCCACATCAGGTTAACAAGCCACTTGTTGTAACAGCAATGATAGTTTGACACCAGATCTGGCCCACATCTTTTTCTTTGTGGGATGTCGTGTTTCCGTTTGGATTTACAATTTAGATTATTTTAGATTATTTAATACTAATTCTGAATCCTGAACATTCCTCCTCCTAGTCCTGCATCTGAGTCACATCATGACTATGACACCTGCTCAAAGCTGGCTTATTAAGTTATGTTTCTAAAAAGAAAAAGAAAAAGTATAAAATAATCTAAACCCCAAATAACCCAGCACTCTAGGAAGAAATACAGTGGCACACCATAATTAAACAGTACAATTAATTAATTGTTTTATTAATAATTCTGAACTGAAAAATTGGCTAATGATACACTATTTAGTGCTGCTATCCAAAAGTTTCCTGCATATTTCTATTTGCTGCGCTTTAAGTTTGGTGAGTGTTTATAAATGTTTAACGGCTTAWATTGATTAGAGGTTTACTGTTAAGAGGTGGGTTTCTTTAATTTGCTTGTTTTACAGTTCCTCATTTTTTTCTCTTTAACATTTTAATCAATTATGTAGTACTGACTAGTTCTTGAATACGATAAAGCTGATAAAAAAAACTGAATAACTGAATAAAAATATAGGAACTGACAAATCAAGGCTTGTGCTAATTTGGCTAATCTACGCTAACTACATGGTCAGCCACTAAAATCACAGAACAGATAAACCAAATAATTATTTCTCCTCTTGTTTGTAATTTTTTCGTCAAGAGTATGACTTTATTGTTTCTCAGCCGGAATAAGACTTCATAACACTAAATTAAATTTTCTTTCCCCTGTCACTCCTCAGAGAAACGGCACACACTGTTTACCTCCTCAGCATATAGCAGAGAGCAGAGCTTCACCTGAGGATCTCTCCCGTTTCTTCCGCTTGGTAAAAAAATCAGTAAAATMTTTCCRCWAAAATATTTGTCTTTTGCACTTTGCCCCTGATCTTTTGTTTCTTTACGTAGAACCGATCCAACACACTGACTCTGCCGATCCAGTGCACAGTCAGTGTGGTTTCCCACAAAGAGATTGCAGTCAGAATCACAGGAGCGCTGAGGATAGATACGTTACACGCAGTGAGTTTCAACCCGAAACATTCGCATGCTGAGCTGWATTCAGATTCTAAATTATTTTCTGTGCCGTGGCGTGCACTGTGTTTTAAAAAGCAACTGCACGTTTTGCCTTCCTCTCCAGCTGAAGTTTAAAATCCTGGAGCTGGTAAGCAGTGCATCAGTGGAGCTGCCCTCCTCCAGCCCCATGTTTCTACATGAAGAGAGGCCTGTCAGACACGTGAGTCAACAACGGTTCCTGTTGTAAACCGTCTCTGGCCTGGGTTTGACCCGGTTCAAAACACAAGCGTCATGTTTTAAGTATATTTAGTCTCACTCTGTTTTTTATTTACTTAGCAAAATAAACTTAAAAAAAAACTATTTGGATGACCCAAAAAAGGGAAATGTTTTCTCTTAAGGTTATTGTACTAACTTATTTCTTCACTGTGGCCACATTTTTTTTTGATAGAGGATTAGTTTTTTTCTGAAGATATACAAGGCAGACCACAATTAAAGAGGAACATGTTCAGATGGAAAAGCTTTAGTTTGAACACTCAAGCTGTGTGGTGCTTAGGGACCGAAAGGACCAGCGGCACAGAAAAAAGAAGCCAAACATTAATCTTTGCTGCCATCTGTTGGTCATTACTGGGGGTTCATTAATGATTCTTAATTTATGATCTTTTTACTTTAAAAAATGTTGACTTAGAGAAGAAGTATTTGTTTTGCTGCATAACTTATATGTTATTTCTGATTATAATAAAATTTAAATAATAAGACCCTAAAAGTTGTAAGTTCAGTTAAAGCGTGGTTATTGATTAATTAATTGATTATTATTTTGTTCTCTGACTATAGACTGGGTTTGACTATACAACAAATTTTAAAAGGAGAATGTGAAGTATTAAACAATAAATTGTTTAGTTAATGTCCTCAGCATTAAAATAAGGAATAGTAAACATTCTTGCCTTTGGGTCCAGTTTTAACTGTTTAACTTTATTTCAAATTAATTCATTATTTGACACCAAAGTGAAGCCAAATTGGTGATAAAAAAAGAAGCAATTTATAAATATCAAAAACATTTACTTTTCCATTTGTATAATCTCACTTTGTAACTTTCAATGAAGGGTCTGCWGTAAACAATCATTTAAAAAAGCTGTAATTCTTTTAAAATCTGTTGTGAATATTCTTGTTTTGTACAGCCACAAGAAATATTTGAACTGATTATACAGAATAAATCTCATTAGCTCTTCATATTTGAATATTAACACTTCTCTTACTGTCACAGGGCTACTTAATTATAAGAATTTAATTCCAGTTGTTTAAATTAATTATGGTAAAGTCTTTGTTAAGGAGAGTAAGATGAATTGTTTAATCACTTTATTACAGCTGACATAGAGAAATGACTTGTTTTTACTTCATCTTACCTGGCAGATAATCCTGGAGATCAGGAAGGAAGGAGATTATAGAATCCCTATCTGGATTATTATTGGCAGCACGCTGGGAGGACTCTTATTGTTAGCTCTTCTCAGTCTGGCCCTGTGGAAGGTGAGTTTTCATGAAGAAAGCATCAGCTGCCAGATTTACATGCATGTCTAATGATCTTTTTTTTAATTCTGCAAATAGACTGCCTGCCCAAAAAAATGTTGCCACCAAAAAAGAAAAGGTCACACACTCTAATATTTTGTTGGACCTCCTTTAGCTTTGATTACGGCACACATCCGCTGTGGCGTTGTTTGGTTTGGGTAAGCTTCTGCAACGCTACAAGATTTATTTCCATCCAGTGTTGCATKAATGYTCCACCAAGATCTTGCATTAATGATGTTAGAGTCTGACCGCTGCACAAAGCCWTCTCCAGCACATCTCAAAGATTCTCAGTGGACTCTGTGGAGCCAATCTGTGGAAATGATGTCTCATGCTCCTTGAGCCACTCTTTCACAATAAGAGCCCGATGAATCCTGGCAGTGTCATCTTGGAAWATGTCCGTGTAATAACAATTGTCATTTAGTCACTGTAACACATTTTCATCTCCTTCCCGTTGAAAACTTGTCATTTTTTTTACAGCAGCACATCTTTATAAAGATTGTGTTAATGTAAAACTCTGTTTTTGTAATAGTATGTGTTGCTCTGTGCAAAGCGTGAAAATATAAATATATATAAAACAAACATAGTTTCAGGTTATATGAAAGAGTGTTAAAATCACACAGCCCAAAAGTTCTGATTTTAATCTCAAAACTTTTTATAGGAGTAATAGCGTTATGTAATTGTGAAGGTCGTACTAGAGTTTTGTGAAATGTGAGTTTTATAACATATGCCACTTTAAACAGGCATTTCCAATTACTTGGAAATAAAAAAGTGATTCTTTGTGTAACTTAAGTTTTAGCAACTTAAATAGCTCAATGTTCATTTTCTCTGAAACAAGATCTGCTGTGATAATTACACGTATGATGAAATCTCACGTTTGCTTTTGCTTTGTTTTGTTTTTATGTCCACAAAAACATAACTTCAAACTTATTTCTGAGTGGAAAAATATATATAGCATGTTGTCAGATAAACAGTTCAATTAGGCTCCCATAAGTTTAGTAAATTAAAAATTAAATAAAATCAGGAAACCATTCTAAAAACTTGTAGAATACATACTTTATAATATACTCCAACTGGGATGACTGGCATTGCTACATTGTTTACCACCTCCTTAAGCCTCTCCTTAAACTGGCTGACGAGTCCTGGGTGTTTCCTCTTGATATGGAATTTTAGATTCATCACACGTCCCTTTAACAGTGGTATTTTTGGGTTGGCACAGAACACACTGAAGGTGCAGGGTGTTTTCAGTGGCCTTATCCCTCTATTCAAAAACAAAACAGTGCTCCAGACTGGTCCACGTGTGAGACTCACCTGCAGCTGACCTGTTGTTGTAGAGTCTACACACAGTTCATCCGCAGGCTGAACCAAAACGCTGCTTTCACCTTCCATATCAACAACTGAACTGGAACAGAAACAGATTAGAAAACTTCAGATTTCCACAAAGCTTCATTGATCATTGCAGTGTCGACCAGTCACTTCTTGTCAGCCATCTTCCAGCCATCCATTAAAAAAAAAATGTGAAAATCTTTATTGAGCTAAAAGTTTACAACACAACCATCCAGGTAAATGAGCAGATTTGGTACAGAAAAATTAATTGAGYGGAAGTTAGGAGCAATAAAYSTTTAYAAAGTTATTGCAAATACAAATAYGCTCAGCAAAATATTAGTTCCACCATTAGTGGATGAGCAGAAGAGTAGAAGTGTGCCCACCACAGGTGCCATCATAGGTGTCTAACTTGGTCTTGATCTTTGCTCTCGTCTTCTGCCCTTGTACTTAGTTCCTCAGGGCTTTTCAGCAGGGCTTAGTACCCATAYTCAGATGGTGGGGATAATGAAATATCCCCCTGACCTGTCATCCTGGCTCCTTCTTGCCAGAACCTCTTAGTTGTACCTCATCAATCTCTAGGTGTGATAGCAGATTTCTTWAGCAGATGTTGGAACACAGACAGTCTGGATGTWGAGTAGTTCCCACATCCTTCCCATATAACCCTTCTCTCYAGGCTTGCATTCCAGCAGAGTTACGTTCTCTTTCCTCTTCCGTGAATGTCTTGTTCTAGGAGCTCATTTCTCCTCAGAACATCCTGGTCCCCCTGACCCCACCACCACCATCTGACTCAGACCTTGTTAATCTAGGCAACGTCTGCGCTGGCATCATAAACCTCGTGTGGCTTTACTTGATGTCTGACCTGTTGTTTGACTGCTCTCTCACCCAGCTCGGGTTCTTCCAGAGGCAGAAGCGGAAAGAGAAGGACGAGCAGGAAGCCAACGGGAAGGTGGCTGAAGAGCGGTAACGCAGGGTGAGGGCTCCCAGCAGACACCTYTCCCACAGAGGACACTCAGGGACCAGATCGCCTCCCCACTGCTCCCCAGCGCCACAGCGGCAGCACCTWGGTGGCGTCACAGGACCACGGATGCAAGGCTTATTCAGTGCACTGGACCTGTCCTACAACATAGCCCCCGACCTTTGAGTCGGCCTTGTCTCTCTCACATAACATTCCTGCACTGCTACAATACTGGATCTGTTTTTACTGACGTATTCCACACGTTCGTTTCTAAATGTCTGAAGAGCAATGGGACGAATTTTGATTTGTTTCGAAAAGTTTGGACTTTTTTCATCTTTGTGGCTGAAAAACAGTCATTTCCTGTTTAATCTTTTCATGATGTGTATTTATTTAACTTTTATTAAACATGAAAAAAGCTGGTATTACATAAAAAAATTAAAAATAAGGGTGACGCCACCCTATAGGTTTATAAATGTAAAAATGTTGTAATGTATATTGAATTTAATGTTTAAACGTTGTTGTCTTTTTATATCTGGAACATCATCATTCATAATTTAAGAAGAAACAAAACTCAATTGAAGCTTTTTGGTGTTTAACTTTTTAAATATTTTTTACAAGCAGACTTTTTTATTCTACAGCTAGGAAAACACACAAGATTGTCTTTAAACATTTTGATGCACTTTTTAAATAATATTGACTTTGTAAATAGCCAAGTGCCTTTTAATATCCTTTTCATATTTGTTTATACAATTTTTCCACATTACATATGGCACTTCCTTTTTAACTTAAGAAAAGCATCCACAAGTGATGGGATTATTACAGTATGAGACAATTTCATGCCTTTTACATGCACTGCATCAGAGCATAGGGCGTGCATCAAAYACTGACAGCAATTCTTCAAGATTACATGAGTGGGGTGTGGGGGAGTTACTATGTACAGTATATTCCAGGCACATAGTTCAATTCTGTACCACAATCAAGTAACTGTGTTACCTTCAGTTATAAAAACACTGTATACCCAAAATAAATTTAAATTTGCATCATAGTCATCTAAATATCTTGAAATTGGCCTCTGTCTCTTCAAGAACCTTCCTACCGTTTCAGACACTCCCACTTCAGCACGTCTTCACAGCAACATTTTGGTGGAGGGGTGCTCTGTGGGGCAGACTGAGCTCCAGGGAGGAGCTTTCAAACGAATGAGTCAAAGCATCACCCTGAGTGTTTAAAGCTCAAAAAGGTCAATTTTGCATAATAACACTTCCCCTTTAAAATGAAGCTGTTATTAAAACAGACATGATGCACAAGCTTGTTTTGATACAAAAAGGCCAATATGCACACAAAATAATGTCTTTTTAGTGAATATCTGATTAGTTTGAATTGTTAAATAAAAGGAGGTTATGAATGATTTAATTTATGATGACAGAAAGCAAACATGCTGTTCAGTTGTGCAAGGAGGCTCATGAATAAAGTGGTTTGGAAATATGATCATTTATTCTTTTTTATTGCAATTAAAGAAAAACACCCCTGATGTTGATGAGTTCTCATTAATTCTGAAATAAATTGCATTTTTTACAGTGTAACAAGCATGAGAAGTAAAATACCAGTTGGAAAGTAATACTAAAGTTATGGTGCAACCAGTTTTATTGATGAAAATCAGCTGCTGCAAGAGTTTAAAATGACGTCACAGTTTCCCATTTCTTTCTGCAAATGTTTCACATTTTAAACTGTTAAGATATAATTTWAAAAAAGACATTTATTGCCGTGTCGGTGCTACAGCACACCTAAAAGATATTATGTTGAGCGTTAAATGTTTAGTGCCAGATCCGCTGGACCCTTAAATCATCCATCCACATTATTAGAACTACATATGGCAAATGCAGCTTGTCGGTTTTAAGAACTAAACTAATAAATTTTTCTACCCAGTTTATGTGTGTTACTGTGTGAGGCGGATGTAAGTGTGTCACGTGTTTAAGTAGCAGCTGGTACTTGAAAAGCCTGAGCCCAGATGTTACKGAGCAGTAAAATGAGATGCAGACATGCCTCTCTTTCACTGTGTGCTTCCTCTCATTTTACTTTTAAATCCAATCAGTATAAACAGATTTGAATCTTTTACCATGAAAGAAACTTCACATTAAAACTGGCCTTTTGTTTGCTTAAATTAGTGGTTCAGTAACAGGAGTTTCAATGGGAACATCCCACAATTAATTTACATTTTTTTATTTATCATTTCAGTGCATTTCAAATACTGAAGTGTTGATCGTCATTTAAGCTCAAGCAGATCAACATTTAATATCAAAATTACATATATGGTTTTTCAGAAAGAGACAAAATAATTCCTTTTGCGCAAGGGTCATTAACATTTTTGATAAAGAACTAAATGAACCTGCTGTGTTTATTTTAGATAAATGTTTTGCAATTTTACACATTTGTCATTCTGAGACCTGGAAACATTGCAGGAAGCACCTTATAAACACGATGACAGCTTCCACACTGTGCCAACAACAAGAAGCACCAAATTATTTCTTCTCAACTGAATACACCCTCTCTTGGTTATAAAATAAAATGTTGATACGGCTGATGTAAAACTGTTTTTTTTTATTATTGAGGTTTATGGAGTCTAAAATGTTACACTAGTGCACTCAAGGAGGCCACATTTCATCCAGTGAACACCTGTTGATACAAGAAGAGTCAAAAAACCTGTTTGCACTCATGAAACAGAGAAACATCAAACAAAACTTGAGATATTAATACTAAAAATGTAGAAGTAAGGTAAACATCCTTTGTTTTGATGTAATCTAATTTGTCTGTTTTAAAGCTGCTTTTGAAGAAAAGCCTGTCCTGCTTCAAATTGATAAAAATATTAATAACCAGTCCTAGCAGAGCTGGCTGCAAGAAAGAGATTCTGGTTGTTTTAATTTGAAACATTCACTTGTAAACATGATGTTATTATGTCTTATATATGTTATTATTTTCTGAATAGGATAAGCTTATGAGAAATGTGACAAATTAAATTATTTTTTTAGAAATTTTAACTTATTCATATTAGTTTACTTTTTTAATTCCTTGTTTCAGCTTCATGCATATGTAAGTAAAACAATCGGACGTTTTATCCTGCATTCATCCAGAGGCGGAACTAGACTTCCTTGCAAGAGGTAGGCTCATATACAATAAAGAAAAGCTCTCTGGATTTAAAAATTCAACATGGCTACCACAGCTTATTCCAAATGACTTTAATTAATCTGTTTTAAAATATATATTGAATTTAAATTTTGTCATAGCTAAGAATAATCCAAACAAATATGCTGAATGCAAGTCTTAACTTATTATTCAGCCATTTTTAGACACACAAAGCGGATGATTAGTGAAGTAGCCAGGGGATTTTTTTTTTTTTACCAAAATTTAAAAGCTAATCCAAAAATCAAGTTGGTCACCACAGCTACCTTTAAATGGCTACAATTCAGCCATTTTAAGACTTATTGAGATTAAATTTGTTGTGAAGTAGCTGTGAATGATCACATGTAGTTTGCCGATGCTAATGCCAAATTTAACTAACCACTAACGCTAATTTTACAAAGGGCTATAATTCATCTATTTTAACATACACAGAAAACATAGTATCAGAGAACAATCTTTAACAAAAACTAAATGTAAATACAAAATCTAAAATCCCAATCCACTTGTCAGTTACTTGGGTGTGGCACATGGGGTGGCCACTCAGTCCACCCCTCTGGCTCCACCCCTGCTGTTTTGCAGTCCAGGTAAGTAAAAAAGATATTTACAATGAGGTTGGTGTGTATAACAGCACAATGGGTTAATGGCTAGCTTGTTCGCCTTGTGTGTGTGTGTGTGTGTGTGTGTGTGTGTGTGTGTGTGTGTGTGTGTGTGTGTGTGTGTG